CACACACACACAGTCCCTCTGTCTCTCAATCCATAGGGTCGAGACTTACCCGTCGTTGAGATATTAGTATGCCATCAACAGTTTCCTCCTTCCTTCCCTCCTGCTCCTTGCTCCCCGCCGCTCTAATACTTCCATGCCGGTGTTAAATGGCCCACAGCCGAATGGGTGCAGTCAATCTTACTTGCTCTCCACCTCGAGCCCTCTGGACTGTAACTACCTTTCTGCATCCTCAGCCAGAGGTCCAGAGCCTCTCATACTCCGCAGAGACAGCGACTTCCAAGATCCGAAGAGAAACGAAGTGTTTCAGAGGGGAGGGAGAGGGAGAACCATCTCCAAACCTCCATCATAGTCGTTTGATGACGTCACACAATCTCCTCAGCTTGCTGATCAGCTTCTTCTTCCTCCTCGACGTGCCACATCAGCATCCTCACTTAGGATAAGAGAAGAGTGGTCGGCGATCGGGACATAGTGTGTGGAATGATAACCCGGCTTGGCGCGCAGCTTCGGATCGTACCACCCTCCTTCCTTCTCTCTTCTCTCTCTTCTCTCTCTTCTCTCTCTTCTCTCTCTCCTCTCTCTCCTCTCTCCCCCTCTCTCCTCTCTCTACAGTCTTCTCTCTGTTTCCGTTATCAACTGTTATGTTGAGCCCTACCGTTATGTCAAGCACTTCAGTTGAAGCCAGCAAGCAGTAGTTTCCTCGAGTTTTTTTTTTTTTTTTTTTTTTTTTTTTGAAGCAACGAGTAATCCGATATTCCTAATCGATTAACGAAGGAGCAGAGCGAAGTGGAGAAGTGAGGAGAAGAGATAAGGGAAGAGAGACAAAAGGAGCGCAATGAAAGAGAGCAAGCGAACGACTTTGCATCGCCCACCACGGACACTCGAACGAAGAAGAAGGAGCGATGGCGCAAAGCAGAAGCTCAGAATCCTCAGATCGTGCAGACTAACGTAACGGATAGATGACACTTCAGCGTTCATTCGCAGTACTAACGTAGTCCCCTAGCGGCACGTGCAGTCATTACGTTACGACGAGGATAACGACATTCACTTATTTATTTGTCAATCTGTTTATCTATTCCCATTTGTCTACTTGCTCGCCTCATCATCATTTTGATGATATTGCAATAATTGCAATAATTGCAGAAAAAAAAATTAAAAAAAATCATTACGGATAAGCAATCGTGGGTGCACACTATGCCAACCCCCTCCCTCTCCTTCTCCTCCTCCTCCTCTTCTTCCTCTGCCTCCGCGTTGGCTTCTCCTCATCCCGATCTCCCAGTCTGAGGGGTCTAGTTCCACTACTGCTCAGACATCAAGACAAAACGGCGACTGTATCTTGCGTCAAAACGTGTCAAAATACATTCTGCCAAATGGCGTTTGAGGCGCTCATTCGCATTGCAACGGCCAGTTCTCCTCCCTCTCCCTCTGTTTGTCCGCCTCCCCCCAGCGACACCTCCTTTTCTCTATCCCGACCAGCGACACCCCCCATCACTGTCAGACTTCCATCTGTTTGTCAATTTCTCCTTGTCCATTGATAAGTCTCGAGATCCCGACTTCGATCCCGTCTTCGAACTGACAACGTCGCTGTGGGTAAGCTCTGTGAGAGAGAGAGAGAGAGAGAGAGAGAGAGAGAGAGAGAGAGAGAGAGAGAGAGAGAGAGAGAGTACTCCTCTCCTCTCCTCTCCTCTCCTCTCCTCTCCTCTCCTCTCCTCTACCTCAGATACCGATGTCACACGGCCGACGCGTTGTCGACATCGAGCGTAGAGCATAGTCTTACAGAGCGAACTGCTCTCTCTCTCTCTCTCTCTCTCTCTCTCTCTCTCTCTCTCTCTCTCTCTCTCTCTCTCTCTCTCTCTCTCTCTNTCTCTCTCTCTCTCTCTCTCTCTCTCTCTCTCTCTCTCTCTCTCTCTCTCTCTCTCTCTCTCTCTCTCTCTCTCTCTCACGCACACACACACACATACAGAAGGAGATTTTCCTTAATTAACTCCAATCTAGTTATAATAGAAACTGGATATGGATATAATAAGGAAAGAACAAGCGTGAATCCTCGACTTCGCATACTTAGCGCAGTCGAATGACAACGGCCGTGAACTACCTTCCTGTGGAATCGCCCCCCTCTTCCTCCTCCTCCTCCTCCTCCTCCTGCTGCTGCATCTCCTCTCTTCCTCTTCTTCCTGCCCTCTGTCCTCTCGCCTTTTTTCTTTTCCTTTTTTCTACGCTCACCACTTTTCTCTCCTCCGGCAGGACATCCCTATCCCAATCAATTGTCCGGACGCACTTTCCTCAATCTACGGACCAGGAACATCAACTTTCCCGCCAATCTACGGACCAGGAGCAGCCATTCTCCCGCCGCCAGTCCATGGACCAGGAATAGCCATCGTCCTGCCAATCTACGGACAGCAACAGTAGTCTTCTGCGCTCTTGGACTTCAAAAAAAAACAAAAAAGCCGTCTTTGTCGTTATCTGGAGAATCGGTCCGCGTACGAAAAAAAAAAAAAAAAAAAAAAATTTAACGAAAGCGGTCCTTACCCGGCCAGCGACTGTCCCGCCACCGTCATTGTCCCTCAGCTTGGAGTACGCGCGCGGTTTACTATTTTTAGCAAAACTGCTCCCTGGGCGATTCCCAGCGCCGAGAGAACAGCGTCGCTGCTACGGGCAATCTCTCGAAGTAGGACTTTTGCAACGGAATCTGACCGCGATTCGCAGCCAGATACAACCAAAAAAGTCTAGTGGAGCGAGTATCCCGACGGCCAACACGAGAGCGAAGAACGGACGAAGCACCATACAAACGCGCGCGTGGGCACAAAGCGAGGGAGACAGGGCCTCGCTCCACTGCTCACCAAATGTGCAAAATAAGAACGAATCTTCCCCTAAAACATGGAAACATACGCTGCCATAACTTTTGCCTTTTGTGCATGTCGAGAGTAGCGGTGCTCTAAAACAAAAAAAACAAAAAAACAAAAGTAGCGGTGCTAGGCCCAGAGGAGGACGAGAGGGGGGAGAACATCAGAAGAATGACTGCAGTAACTATCTTTTTCTTTTTTTAACCGCCTTGAGATATTATCATAGAACTGACCTGCCCCTGGTAATTCAGAGTTATTTTGTTCTGTCCATTCTGATTGCATCTGGACTCGAACGTGGGTCTGTACTTCAGCAGTTCATGGGTGTGCCAAACTGGGCTACCTGGTGGGCCCGTTGGTACTGCAGTAACTATCGATGGAATGTAGGGATAGTAAAAAAAAAAATGCTTTTGCGAAAAACCGACCAAAAAGGTGCAGGATTGGATACTGTGCTGATAGTTTGGCCATTTCGTGCTGGGTTGGGAGGAGCTCACAGTTTACTGATCTATTGAGGAGGCAGCCCCCCCCCCCTTTTTATAATTTTCTTTGGAATCGAAGGGACACTGGACCCGGTTTCCAGGAGCCTATAGCTGGGTATTGGCCCGAGCATGTTTCGTACCGGGGGCTAGGTCCCACTTACACGAATTAAGCGATATTGACCGTAGATAGCAAAGATCAACGGCCAGCATCTCTTAATCCGTGCAAGTGGGACCTTGCCCCCGGGTTGTCATGTGAGTTGTGTTCCCGGGCCCCTGTCCTTGGCTTACAATGAACTAACTGTACTTCCAACAAAAAAAAAAAAAAAAAAAAAAAAAGGGGGGTTGAAATCGCTCGAATTTGCTTGAATAAAAAAGTATCAACCGAAAGGAGGGCACTTTCCGGGATGTAGAATCTGATGTAGATGACCGCAGTTACGGCCAGAGTGGGAGTAGGCCCGGAATTACCCCGACGACTGCACACACCAAGTCACAGTAACTATTTATGGAAGTAGAGAACGAAGGAATTAATTACCACTGATAGCAGTGACCGTGGGCATACTCACACGAGGACTTCCTTTACTTGTCTCGGGACAGAATTGCGGCCAGATGCGTCCAGATGCGACCGTAAATGCGGTCAGGTACATCTAAGATAGTGCTAGTGTGACTACCCCCACAATTATCGGCCGGATTCTTCTTTTTCACTTGGCCGGATTCTTCGTTCCTGACCGTGGATTCCTAAAATCTACAGTCCTGTCTCGAGAATTGGGGTAAGTGGGACTTGAAACCGGCTACCCTTTTCTTT